TGAGTATTATCCTGAACAAATAATCATTCAAATATTATTATTATTATTATTATTATTATTATTATTATTATTATTATTATAACAATATAAGATCAAGTCGGATTGGATAACAAGTTATATGATGCTAATTTGGAGCAATTATATAGAGTAGAGGGTAATTTTATGTTGTGATGTAAAACAAAGAAATAAAGGGTAAGAACTATGTGTGAATCATCTGAGTCCAAAGAGATTTCACAACTCTAAATTGAGAAGCATAATTTTGCTTAAGAGAAGTACACTCATGTAGGCATGTGCAAGAGGCACCACAATCATGCTTTAGAGAAACATGCATGTGTTTCTCTAAAGAGAGTGAATCATGATTGTGCTTAGAGGGATGCACGCCCATGTTGGGTTCAATAGGGAAGTATGCCCATACTTAAAGGTAAAAATTCCTATGCTTAGACCGAAACACGCCTGTGCTGCTCTCGTGTTGCTCTCGTGCTCGCCTATAATAAAGCTAGTTTAACTTAATCAAATAAGAGTTTGGTAATGGGAGGAAGTTATGTGACGATGAGACTAGTAAGAAGTGGCATGGTAGGGAAACTAATTACTAATTTGTAGGAGACTTATAATTGAATATTGTGACTGTATGAGTGTAATAGCCAATGAAGGGATGAGAAACCATGAGATGACATTTAGTTGAGGTATGTGAGGTATAATACCTAATAATGAAGGGAAATGGGTGACTATAATATGTATAATTGGGAAAACGATGAGAAGAAATGGAGTGTGACCATAATTAAGTAATTAAACAAGAGGAGTAAGGATAATGACTTAGTGAGTAATAAGAGTAAAGAGATATAAATGAGAATAATGATATGTGATGTTTATGCATGGCATGATAACATTATGTGTGATATGAGATGCTTGTGTGTAATGTGTGTGATGAGGTATGATAAGAAAACATTATGAGATATATGAGATAATAGGCCTTGTTGTTTGACTCGAGAACCTTGCATGAAATGTTTGCTCATGATGATGATGATGATGATATGAGAAAGTCCAGACAGAGACTTGAAAATGGTGAAATCTAGGCATGGCTTGGTCTTGTGGAGAAATCCAAATAAAGAGATTTGGCAAATTGATGATGGCTCTAAGCATGTGCATTATTGTTGTTTATGATTGGTGAAGTTGTTTGGAGTCCATTCATGCATATACTTTTGTTTAGAGGTGGTACTTAATTTATGCATGTGGGTTTCTATAGTCTTCTATCTTGGCCTTGGAGGTGTTTTGGTAGGGATCCTCTAATGAGTATGGGAGGTGACCCATGGACTATTTTGAGACCCAACTAGATCTTGATAGATTTTCTCCTAGTCAAGAGTGGATTGAAAGGGTCACCCAGAAAGTGGTGATCCAATCTATGTGTTCATAGGTTACTTTGTAATATGCTACTTTGCATTTGGATCATCTTTGAAAAATTTTGAGATTGGTACTACATGTATATAAATTAGGAGCATGAGTTTGTACAAGTCCTTGATAAATGTTCGTAGATTTTACTGTTGATGTATTGAATGAAAATGATTTATTGATGTTTGAGTTGGCTTGAATGATGTTATGTGTTGTACTTAGATACTATTTTTTATTTTTCATATGTGCTTATATGTGTGAGATATATTCTCACTCCTGTATTTATTGTTCTTATTCTTTTTATTTGGGTCATACACCATATGCAAGAACTGATTAGGTAGATGAGTTTAATTATGCCTATGGGAGATGAAGTTTAATCTTCGGTTTATGTTTAACGAAATTGCTCTGATTATTGTAACATTTAAGACTAGTAGATATTTTTTTTGTGTTTGATCTTAAGAATGTTGTTTTTTAGTTTTGGATTTCCTTTGAGAAATTATAAGGGTTTAATGTTTAAACATTTTTTATTTGCGAATTTACTCTTGTTTTATTCTTATTTAACACAATTAAAGTTTTATACAAGAGATTTGAAATGTTAATTCTTTTACCTTGTGTGAAAAAAAAAAGTTAAATTGAAAAGGAGCCTATTTACTTAGTAATAATATTAAAATATTTTAGAGTATAAGAGTATCACACTAATAATAGGTGAGGGATTCACATGTGAAATGGTAAGGGTGGTCTTTTTATTAACATATGTGATTTTTTTTTAATTTATAAAAATTAATAACAAATAGTTTATTGATGGATTTAAAACTTATAGCTTTACTTAAAAAAATGCAACTGTAGTCACATTGGCTACATTACTCATGATTTTCTAGGATATCAAATATTACGATGAAATTATAATAATAATTGCAATTTAAAATTTTGGACCCAATGAATTTTATCCTTAGATGAGACAACAAAAAAAAAACATCAAAAGATTCATAAAAAATAATTAAAAAAAGATAAGATTTAAAGTTGAATCTTTTTGTTGATCACTCTAATATAATATTTAGAGTCTATTTAGATTCAAGATAGAAGTTTTTTTAAGAGTTTTTTACTAAAAGAAATTCCTTATTTTTAATATAAAAAAAAATCTCTCAAAAGTTCTTCTAAACTAAACTTGTAACTAAACATATTCATAATCCATAACTTTTAAAATCTTTTAACCAGACGAAAACTAGCCAGAAAATAGAGATCTAATAGGTGTCATGAAGTTTAAAAACACTTCAATTCTGTTGACCAACACCAAGAAAATCATAGAAAGGAACTTGTTTATGGCCACTATCCTTGGACTCTTTGTCCGAGGAAGAAGAAGAAGAAGCCATTTCTTCAGTGTTTGAACCGTTTTCGAAGCTGCTCATCTTCCTTAGTTCCTCTCTTTGCTTCCGTGTCATTATAAGGTTCCATTGATTCTTGACAGCAATATCGGTTCGGCCTGGAAATAGCCTGGCAATTGTTGCCCACCTTGGCCCATGAACTTGGTGAGCCTCAAGTAGCCTCTCTTTTTCCTCTTCTGAAAATGGCTTCTTAGTAAGTCTAGGATCAAGATGATTCACCCACCTTAATCTGCAGCTTTTACCTGAACATTCAAAAGTGATGAAAACACATTATTCAAAATACATTACATACAACTATAATTTAAAACATTGGCCACATTTTTTTTTTCAACATCATAATGAAATTGGGAATCAAACTTCAGTCTTAATTAAGTGACAACCTATGATAAATATGGGTTACTTTTTTTTTTTTTTTTTTTTTTTTTTTTCTTTTTTTTTATTTTATAGAAAAAAATTTTTATATTTTTTTTTTT